CTCTGCCTCCTCTATGGTTATTTTTAAAAATATTTTTAATTTATTGATTTTAGAGAGAGAGGAAGGGAAACAGAGACAGAGACAGAAAAAGAGACATCAATTTGTTGTTCCACTTATTCATGCATTCATTGGTTGATCTTTGCATGTGCCCTGACCAGGGATGGAACCCACAGCCTCAGCGTAACAGGACAACGCTCTAACCAACTGAGTCACCTGGCCAGGGCCACTGTACTATAGCTGTGATCCTTTGAGTCTGTTTCTTTATATGTTAAAGGAAACCTCTGGGAATTTAGAGAACTCTTCCTCTCTTCAAAAAGCCTGATTTGCATCTTGCTGTGGATTCAAAATGTCATCTTGAGACTGGGCCCTGGGACTAAGTCACAGCTGATAGAGGCTGTCTGGCATGGAAGGTACCCTGTGCTACAAGAGATACTGCATAGGGAAGGTCCCTCTTTCTTAATTTAATTGTTCAATTTAAAAAAAGGGTAAGTTACACACCAGGAGCTTCCAGTTTGCAACCTTTGCTAGACTATAACAGGGAAACCACACCCAACACACCTCCACCCATGAATGGGTGCTTCCTGTCAAACTAACAACCATTATATGTGCATGTTTAAAAATAATAATATGATGGGCTACTGTGGATACCAGCATGAATTAAGTATCATGCTAAAAACTTCATGTGTCATATCATTTAATCTCCACAACAACCCTGCAATTTACATATGTATCATCACCCACACTTTCAGATGAAATCACTGGGTTCAAAGACGTTAGTCCCAAGCCTGAAGTCACAAACAGAAAACAGCAGAGCTCAGGGCTCAACCCAGACCTCTCTCACCGCAAAACTTAAGCTTTTTCTATCAAAAGTAGGCAACTCTTCTTTGTACAACGCTGAGACTCTAGGCACATAAACAAGAAACCCACGGGACAATCTATCCTTCCAAGTCAGTTCCCAGTGATAACCTCAACATAATGCATTTTGCATTGCAGGCTGTTCACCAAGCTCCCAAATATTATGCTTCCTAAAAGCACCCTGGACACCTTCAGAACATCAAACAGAAAAAGAGATAAGCAAAGTGGAGAGTGGGACAGTGTGTGCTCGGAGAGGCAGGATGGTGGAAAAACCAACAGAGTCTGCTGAAAATTAATAGGGAGGGAGAGACTCAGCTGAGGAAATGCTTAGAGGTGTCTTGGTTCATTTTTTTCATATCTGATTTACAGAGAAATGTCATTTTAAGAGTGGCTTTTAAAAAATGGGTTCCACTTGCTAAAACTCAAAAGGAAAATATTAAATAAACAGATTGTATCATCCCCTGAGTATGCCTTGCAAGTCCCAAGTACTTCATTCTCTCTTTGCATCGTAATTCTTGTCCTCCTTTCCAGAAGTTTCTGCCATCCCTCTCAGCACAAGCAGTTCTCAGACTCTCTGCATCCATATCTCATGGAGCAATTTTATTCCAATGCAGAAATAAAGTCTGGTCAGAGGAGACATTGCAAAGGAGAAAATCCATGGTTACGTATTTCCATATGCTATGACATTCACCAGATTTATTGCCAACCCTTGAATCATTTCTTATTCCCAACTCGTCTCAACCTCCATCTCATGTTCTTCCAAATGTTTCTATCATGACTGCTAAAGTTAAAACGACGCATTGAAATGAGCCTTTCAAGAGGTGTATTGCCAAGAGACTTCTTGGTTTCTATATAGGGCTTAGTAGCAGGTGTCCCCAGTAAACAAGTCCAAAATGAACTCTCATACCCCATCCTCCCACACAATAGCTGTTCCTTCCCCAAGAGCCCCTGTCTCTGCAAGTAGCACTGTGATCCACCCTCTGGCTCATGTCAAAACACCAGCAGGTCTCTTGGGCCGCCTTTTCCCTTATCCCCTCTAGCCAATGCATCAGCAAGCCTTGTTGAGCCCACCGCCAGCTCCAGCGCCCCTCGTCCCCATCTTCCTCTCCGTCCCCAGTGATGTCATCCCAGGGCGAGCCGCCATCGCCTCTCACCTGGATGGATGCAGCCGCCCCCACCTGGCCTCCCTGCTGCCCCCTCCCCACTCTCTTACCTTTTCTCCATAGATTAGCCTGCCTAACCCTCATAAAATGCAAATCTATCTACGGCGTTTTCTCCTGGCTTTCCAGTGCTTCGAGAATAAAATCTAAAATCCTAAACATTTCTTATGAGGTCCTGCCTGACCTGACTCTGGCCTCTCTCCAGCCTCATCCCATGTCTCTCTTCTCTCTCTCTCTCTTCCTCCTCTCCCCCCACCCCTCCCCCTCACTACACTGGCTTTTTCTCTCTTTCCTCAAATACTACAAGCTCTTGACTGTCTCAAAGCCTTTACAATTGCTGTTTCTTCTGCTTGGAATACTCATCTCCCAGTTTCTATCGGAATGGCTTGTTCTAATCCTTCAGGTCTTAGCTCTTGATTCTTTTGCCCAAATAGCCTTTTCTGATCACCCAGTCCAAAAGGGGGCCTTCACAGTACTCGTTCTGTCTCCCTTGCTTATTCCCCTTCAAAAACTACAATTACTTCTCTCGTATATTTACTGACTGACTCTCTTGTGCCCACTCTGCCCCTCACCCCTGGCATAGAGTCTGAGACATGATGCAGCAGGTCGTGAGTGTTGAATGAGGAGAGCTCATACACACCGTGCTGGAGCTCCAATGAAGCCCACCTCAGAGTCAAAGTGAGGGGAGGAATGTCACCGCCTTGCTGTGAAAACAGACAGCCCATTAAACCCACAAAAATACGATTTCGGTTAAAATCGCAGGAGATATTTTCTAACTGATTATGCTGAGCTGGGGAGCAAAGATAATAAACACATTTAATTTGAAACAGGTGGAAATCTGGTCCGTTCCCCACTGGTTGGTGGACTGGGGCCCTTTAAAAAGCATTCTCGTCTCTTCAACATTATCTGAGTATAATTTTTATATACCAGAATGTGCTCTGGTGACGGTCATCCCCAGCCCCCCAGCAGTCACGTGATGGCCCTATTTATCTTGGCTGGGTAAGGCTCACAGGAGACCCGTGGGCCCGCACTCATCTGCATACCTGACTGGGTCTGGTAGACTGTAATGCTTAGCTACAAGTTTATAAACAAGCATCTCAAAGTAAGCAAAGCACTTTAAGATCCTTGAATAGGGCACTAGAGACATGTATCATAACATTTATTGAGTGTAGATTTCTTTAATGTGCCAAAATATGCCTCAGGGGTGTCAGTTCGAATGCGACAACTTGCTAGATAAGTTGGAGGTATCCGTGATCACACGCTGAGCAGATGTTCTAAGCTGAAGAGTTTTGTTTTTCTAAAAAAACAGCTTGGCGCACAAACTGCTTAAGATGGATCTTTTGAGAAGAGTAAGACAAACATGGAGGTGAACAGAGCCTTCAGAAACCCAGTTTAAACTCATAAGAGAAAAATGCACTATTTTTTTATTTGTATGCATGGAGAAAATCTCAGGTTTCTGTCCAACTTATCAGCGAGGATAGTTTCATCATTGTGCGATGCTGTTATTTCTAAATCCTTAACCGTTCCTTCCTAATTATCATCTCTAGGATGCTGGTTTCCAGAATAAGTTTCTTTGGTGCTCGGGGAAAAAAAATTAAACTAAATGGGTTTAATTTTACCACTTAGTGCTTCTGCAGATGGGCTGACTGCAAAAGGCCAAAGCAAAACCCTGCCCTGCCCTCTGAGTCTTTGCCGTAGGAGAAGAGACTCGACAAACCCCAGATGCAACCCTCATGGGCACAGAAGCACCCCCTTGACTATCCACTCCTGAGTCTGGTCATCACTGTGGATCTGGGGCTAATTAAACATGCCCCCCAACTCCAACTCTCCCTTCTACATGGTTAATGTTTTGAATGTACTGTCTCTTGTTCCCCACTACCTTCACCAAATACTTTGTCATCTGTCCTTCCATCCGTCCGCACACCCACCCATCTACCCATCCGCACATCTGTCCAGCCAGCCAGCCATCCAATATGGATTTAACCAGATATAGCCCTACCTGCTAGGCATATACCAGTAAACAAGACCGAGTCTGTGACCTCAGAGAACATAAAATCTAATAGTGGATACAGGCATGAAAATGGCCCCTTTTTTGGCACAATTGGTCATTACTGAAATGGAGATATTTTAAAGGTGATGGGGACCAGAGGGAGGGCAGTTCTACATCTAAGGGTGATATTTGGGGAATATCATGGACAAGCACCATAAAGTAACACACAGGAGATCGCTAGAAGGAGAGGGGGGCAGAGAAGGGAAAGTGCTATAGTCCAGGCAGAGGGGCAACCACAGCCAAGTCACGGAAGCCTGAGAGCCCGCAGCGTGTCCTGGGCACAGGGTGGTTCTGCTGGCGAAACAGCGCTGGGGAGGCATCGGGGAGAGGGCGGAGGAGTGAGCAGGGTCCAATTGGAAAGGACCTTGTGACTTGGATGTTTGAGAGTCATTGAAGAACTGTGTTTATACTCTCCCAAAATGTAAACAAATAATTGATATGAGGGGAAATGAGAAAAAAGAAACAGAAAATACAATTTAACATGCAGTATAGTAATCCTATTCCATAAAGATGAAATTCTAGCTTTTAGATGTTTCCCGACCTCTTGCCTTTCATCCCTGTAAGAATTGTTTCCTTTCTGTCTGCGCTCCAATGAGTGTGTGAGTGCAGGCACACACGTGCGTTTAATCTTTGGTGTCACCACTGGGCATATTTTGTGTGGAGCACCTGTTCTCCAATTGTCCTGTGCCTTGGGATATATTCCCATCCTTCTGTCAGTATGACTGTATAAAGACACGCAAAAATAAGTGGAAAGCATCCATTTATTTTCCTTCCAGACTAAACACATGCTCATGAAGCTGGGGTCCCACTTCAGTTCCTTCCTCTTCTGACCACTTGCTGGGTCACTTCTCCGGGGCTGTTGAGTCACTCAAAACATCACGCCTGACAGTGCATTTTTTAATTTTAATTTTATTGTTTTATGTCTAGAGCTCCCCATGAGAGGAAGGAGAACATGAAGCCTGAGAAGCTGCTGGAGGGCCAGGCCTGGCCTCGCAGTCAGGTGCTGTGGAATGGGGAAGGTGCCCAGATCATGGAGGACAAAACAAAGGAGACAGGAGGTGACAAGTCTACTGAAGAAGGCTCCCCTCTCAGCAAAACAGAACCGCAAAAAGATGCGACAGGTAGGGCCAGCCAGGCTTACGGACCCAGTCCCGTGCATCTAGGGGACCCTTCGGTTTTATGAGACGGGGCCCCAGAGCTGGAGCCTCCTGGGCCAAGGACAGATCTTGCATGACAGGAAACAGTGAAGGTTGTAAATGGCAGTTCTGCAGAGCTACTGCTGCTTATGACAACTTCTGGCTCAAAAACCCGAATTTCCATGCCTAGTCTTATCTGGGCCAAAGAGAACTAACTGCTTCCAGGGAAACCAAAGGCCGTGCATGTCAATGAACTCAATAGCCACATTCTGTGTCCTGGGTCCCAGAGGGCCAGCCTTGCCTTTTCCGCGAGAGAAACTGACTCTGGAAGGAACAGTGGAGAGCACCATCTCCAGGGGAAGGCTTGGTTCTGGGCAGGAGCCCACAACCCTTGGCCCCACTCATTGCCTCTACTTCTGCAGAGTTGGGCACGTCTACTTTGGGCTCAGTCTCTAAGCCCAGCAAAGCACACACCTGAGCCCCATGCATATCCCATTAAGGCAGGGAACAGCCACTAGCCAATGAGGTATCTCAAGTATGAGGAACAAATCATACCCTTGCCGGTGGCTCATAAAGCTCTAAATTACCTACCTTGAATTAAATGTATGGAGAAGCTTGTACTTTCTGTGCCCAGAAAGCTGAGGAAGGCATAGAGGCAAGACACCTTTGCATTTCCATCTGTTTCTCTAGCTAACGAAAGCAAACCTTTTGCAAATATATCTACATGATATTTCTGCTAAGTGTGTGTCATTGATAGAAGAGGTAAAAGCAAGAGGGTATTTCTTAGGTGAAAAGTTCTCTTTAAGCCTCATTTACAAACTGGCAGATGCAACCCTTTCTGGCCATTAACATAGAGCTATCACTTCAAGAGTGAAACAGAGTGACAAATTGCATTTGCAAAGGGGACACATCAACTCTCCTAATTACCTCTAGAGTCCTATTCACAGAATCAGAAAAGGTGTCTAATTACGTAGACTGTGCTCACTTTTTGATAATCAACCATTTCAATTTCCTAAAAGTCTTCTTGGTTTTAGTCACATTCAGACCAATGAAAGCTGTGACAATGTAAACCGGATAAGACAGAACTTGGAAAATGGGTCATTTGTAAAGCCTGGTCTTACTCCCCAGGACTAAAACTAGTAAGTTAAGGAGAATTGTAGGGTAAGAAAAGATGCAGCAAAGGTAGAAGAGAGAAGGGAGACCCCTTTATCTTAGAGAAACCAGTGCAAAGTCTTCATTTCAGGTGGAGCTCAGAACGAGCTATACGCTTCAAAGGCCCGTGGGAGAAACTTCTGGCCGCTCCAGCCTCCCAGCTCAGACACTTCTAAGGGTCTGCATGTGACCGACCAACTTTCGCAGACACCTCCACACAGCTATATTGATTCTTCCAGACTCTTCCAGCCTTCCCGATTTATATTCCCCTCAGTTCTGTTTGAGTCAAAGCCTCCTTGGCTTTGTTACCTTAGTTTCCTACAGTAACCATTTATACAAAGTCAGCTAAGTGACAAGAACTTCAGGAGTGCACAGGATACAAAAAAATGGAATCACTTGTTCACTCAATGAATTTGTTGCGCACTCACTCTGTGTCAGGCACTGTTCCAGATGCTGAAAATACCTCGGTCGATCAAATCGGTGAAGATGATCAAAGACACACAGTGAATGCATTTTAGGGGCCAGTTCCATTCTCCAACTTATCTCCAGTCTTAGAGAGCAATGTCGGGGAGTGTAAACTGGAACACCACTTCCAGCCACTTACGGTCCAGTCTTCTCAGTAAATCATCTCAGGATGTCAACACTGGCTTTCTGAGAAGGTAGGGTTTTGGATGTTTTGGGAACATTTATCCTGGGAGCCTGCAGTTCAGAATCTATAGTCTGCACCCATGTGAGCTCATCTGTTTCTTATTTTCCTCCCACTTGAAAGTGATTAGAATTTTCTTCCATTTGGGGGTTTCTATCCACTTCTGACCCTGAAAGGCTCAGGAAATTACAAAGCAAGTTTTCCAACAGCGTCAGACAGTCCTACACAGCTGCCAATTTGCTCTCGCTGCATCTTGTAAGTCTGGCGCATTACAAAGTCAAAGGCGGCCTGAGCTGGAGGGGCCCTGCTTACTTGCGGAATGCCCAGCTGTACAAGCACAGTTGGCCCTCATTGCCCAATGAGACAACCCCAAACCCACAGAGGCTGTGTCAAGCAAGAGATCCTGGCAGGAAAGATCCACGCACATAAGATATAGAGACTGGCATTGGAGTGTGTGTGTACGTGTGTGTGTGTGTGTGTGTGTGTGTGTGTGTGTGTGTGTGTGTATGAGGCGGAGAGAAGGAGGGGGGTAGGGGGATTAAAAAATGTTTGAAGAAAAATGGGCTTGCTTGGAAATGTGCGGTTTCCACAGCAATTTTGGGAATCTCAGCACAGGGAGTAGCAGGGGTGACTATATCTCCAGAACCCGCGGCCACTCCCCAATCAGAAAGCCATATGTTGCAGGAAATGTGAACCACAGCCTTTGCCTATAACTTGCTTCTGCTCGGGGTATCTGGGGAGACTTGGACAGTTGCACATCAAAGGGAGGGCCCACTCCAGTTGGTCAGGGGCAGGTGAGCGGCATGACTTCTCATGATCACCGCAACTAGATGGTTGAGCAGAGCATGGTTTGTTTGTTTGTTTGCGTGCTTGTTTTGAAAAGAACAAATGATTGAAAAAGGAAGGAGAGTAAATAGAGCAAAGGCTCAGGAAAGATGAAGTGTCCGCCCCTTAAAAAAGCTGTGTGGCTCTCTGTATCTCGTCCCAGGTCTTAGCCTTGTTTTTTCCCCTTTTGCAAAATGGAGCTCCTCCTACTCAGAGCATCAAAGAATCACAAAGTTGGGAGACCTCTTAGAAGCCTAAGAGCCTGACACTTAGCAGGTGCTAAATCCCTCTTTAATTCATCCATGAAGTCATTGAGAGAAGGAACCAACATGTGAATGTTTGCTAGGATCACCCTGCAAATGGAAGTTCAAAGGGAAGTGCAAATGGATACTTAAATATCACCCACAACTGGACGATCGACTGAGCTAGGCCACTCTGTATTTGATAGCTGTGGCTGTTAGCATTGTGCACAAACCCAAATACAAACCTGGCTCCCACCCAGAAGCTTCCATCATGAGTTCCAGCTCTTCCCTCTTCTACAGAGCAGCCAGGAAATAACTGCCACATCCCCCACAGGGATCGTTCTTCTTCCGTCTAATTATCCTCACCTCCTTTAGTCATGCTCCAAATAACAGACTTTTAGGGTTTTCAGTTTCTGAAACTGAACATTCTTATCATTTTTCTCTTTCTCTGAACAAGCTGCAGTTTGTCCAAGTGCCCTTGAGCTGAGTTCAGGGATTCAGCTCTGACTGGACTAGAAAAAAAAAGTAGGTCTGATGCCTTCTTGTGCCGCATCCTGTGTCTCCTGATGCAGAAGACGGCCTCTCTGGCATATACGCAGGCTCGTCTTACCCCAAACCTGTATGTATTTTTTTAGATCACAAACACACACTCAGGTAAGAGGTGCTCAAAGACAGAAAGCAACACCTTTTCAGGTCTTCTCTGCCTCAGACAAAATTAGACATATCAGGCCCAAAGGGTGATTTGCTCCTCTGGTTAAATTCGGTTTTGGCCACCTTACATCAAAGCCTATACCACCCTCCATACTTCCCACGAGTCAGTCCTGAAGGGAGGTATCCCTGTTCTTTCCCTCATACTGATTACAACTCTAGAAAGGGATTCTTAGATTATAGCAAAGATGTTGAGTTCTTCCTTGCACATGTTAACACTGGACAGTACCAAGTATTTTCAAATAGCTTATGATGTAGATTTTTACATTGGACAGAATTGCAGTGGACCTGAAGGGATAAAAAGAAAAAAATTCCACCAACAGAAAGAAAAGTATATTTCTCCCATATGACAAGATGTCCAGGGGAAGGCAGTGCAGAGCTGGTATTTGGTTCCATGATGGCATCAGAGACCCAAGCTGGTCATGTAGCTTTTTACTTCTCCTAATCCTCATGTTCACAAAATGGTTGCTCACCTCTGTGCATCACATCCACATCCCAGCTGCACCAGAAAGCAATCACTTTCCAAGACCCTCTTACCTACCAATGAACTTTCACACATACACATAATGGAAAAACTGAATTAAAAGGTATCTTACTACTAGAAGTAAAAGTTAGCTTTTCTATAAGGGAGGGCAACTCTAATAATCATAATGGTCTAAATTCTGAATCTGGTCAGAAAATAAGCCAATATCCTCTTAGTGGGAGCAAGGGAGATGGGTGTCACCATGTGACAAAAGCCATGTCTCTTTCTTTCTCAAGGTGGCTTTGATGTTCAGAAAATAGTCCTGCGTGGTCCAAGTTCTGATTAAAAAAGAGCCTCTTCAGCCCTTCTGGGCACAACTTACATACGTGTCAACTTGAGGGGACAGCTAGGAGTGTGGATCTAAAAACATACCCTTTCCACACCTCTGGCTCTGATCATCACTGCCAGATCTACATACATGGTGTGTAGAAACCATTTGTGAGGTATGCTGATACCTCCTGCCTCTAATCTACTTCATGGCACAAAGCAGGAGGCTTTGGAGCCAACCTTGGCTTTGTCCCAGCACTCAGCTCGCAGAGAACCCATGAGTGGGTGCAGATGAGCCTCCTTTTACGAACTGTGAGCAGCATCATGGTTAAACAGCATGGGATCAGAAATGTCAGCATTTGACCCACAGCTCCACCAGTTCCTAATATGGGTCCCTGGCCAAGTCCTTCAGCTTCTCTGCACTATGATTCCTCCACTAGTGTATTAGTTTGCTATTGCCATGTAACCAATTATCACAGATGTAGCAGCTTAAAATAACACCTGTGTGGAGGTTAGGTGTCTGGGCACAATTTAGCTGGCTCCTCTGCTCAGCATCTTATCTGAGGCTCAGGATTGTTGACTGAATCCTTTACTTGAAGTGTTAGAACTGACAGTGGCTTGCTTTTCAAAGGCCAGCAAGACTTGAGTGTAATCGCTCAACCTGCTTTTAAAGGGCTCATTTAATGAGGTCAGACCCATCTGAGATAAGCTTCCTTTTCATTGATTTAAAGCCAACTGATTAGAGACTGTAATTACATCTGCAAAATTCCTTTAACTTTGCCACTAAGTAACATAATCATGAGTGATATCCCATCATATTCATAGGCCCTGCCCACACTCAAGGGGAGGAGGTTATATAGGCAACACTTAATTAGGGCAGAATCTTGGGGCCATCTCAGAATTCTGGACCTACCTCAGATGGTTGTTTTGAAGACTAATTGAGATGGTAACAGTACGTATCCAGCAAGCAGCAGCTGCTGTAATTATTTTAGCATTTTTGAGCATCTGTTACATGGCAGGCCCCATAGTAGGAGCTGGGGATTTGATAGATAATAACACCAACATTGCTCTGAGAGAAATCCTGGCATTCCTCGAACACTAATAGTCCCCCACCCCCGCCCCATGCAAAACTGGCCAATAGCCATAAAGCTTTAATCCAACTAAATGGCTTTTGGATACAAAGACTCGGAGTTTTCTTGGCTTATGAAAAAGCAGCTGTCGAAAAGAAAAAGTGCTGACTTCCATCAAATACTGTAATCCACAGGATTATCATTGCAACCCTTATGAGCTGCCCGCTTTGATTGCTGAGTTGCAGTCAGAGAGGCAGCTATTGCTTCAGCACCAGTGCCCTCAGACTCCCTCTCGCCCAGGGCTTTGAGCCGTGCCTGCCCACATTTGAATCGCCCGGAGGGCCTGGGCGGGTCCCATTGGCCAAAACTTGGATACCTTTGGCCTGGGATGTGCCCTTGCCTTGGAATTTTTTAAAGCCCTTCACTTCAGGAGTCTTCCACACACCACCAGGGATGAGGGTCGCTGCTGGGGCCAAAGCGTGAGTGATCGGAAAGCTAAATTCCCCTTAAGCAGAAACTGCTGAAGACTTGACAAGCCAAAGAGACGTGAGCGGCGATAAAGCACGTTTCCACCGACTTTCAGCAAAGAAATTGAAATTCAACACAAGTCATACTTTTTCAAGGCACACTGCCGTTTTAGCAGACAGCTCACCTACTAGCTGGGATAGTGTTGAAAAAAGATTAAAATGCCCCCATAGCCCGGAACATTGCTGGTGCTCAGCGTTTAATGTTTACTCTGTCATCTGCATGTATTAAGCACCCACTAGATGCCAAGTTTCCTGACTGCTGCTGGGGTTTCAAAGATCAGTAGGACCTATACTGTGTCTTTGAGAGCTCGGCATGTAATTCCAAGATGCAAAGACGCCTTTTTTTTTTTTCTGTACCAAAGTAGTGCTTTCAGGAGAGAGGGCATGGAGCTTATTTTTAGGTTATAAATAATCATTTTTACAGCTTTCTCAGGCTTCGATGACTATAGGGATTCTCTCCAGGGTTTAATCACTTCCAGAGAACAGCCTCTTTTCAAGAAGGAAGAAGCCACTTCCTTCTCCCCCCACCATCATCCCCCTCAAAGAAAAACTATTCCTAAGGATAAGAGAGGAACGATTACCCAAATGTCATAATTATTTCACAAGGGAAAAGAGCAACAGGAAGCAGCAGCCTCATCTTCCTCGACCCTTTCTAACCCCCAGGTCCTTCTTCCCTACTGAGGGTACGCAGGCTCCGTGACGCAGGGGGACCACATCCTGAGCTGGGTGCGGGCTGGCCCCTCCACCTGCTGGCTGGTCCCTGCTGGAGGGTTGATTGCAAACGTAGCATTAGGCAGACGCTATTGACTGAGGAGGATTTGGCAAAGCCCAAGGAAGCGGGATGCCTCTTTGAAGATAACACGGCGCCAGTGGCAGCTGTTTGAGACAGACAGCCACGTGTGGTCTGGTGTTGGAACACGAAGGCTGGACTCAGCTCGCCTTGGGCCTGAAGGGGAGCTTCTCCCCCAGAATATCACAAGCTCCTCCATAGCCCTGAGATGCAACCCGCAGAATGGTTCAGCTAGAAGGAAACCCAAGTTTCCTGTCCAGACAAAATCCTCTCCAAAACCCTCGCCCCTTTTCACCTGCTTTATATGCATTTATTGAGAGCCCGCTGCGTTCAAGACATTGTGCGAGGCTGTGCTAATTCACCACCAACCCACTCCCACCAAGGAAAGTTTTAAAATATCAGAATTCCACTATGATCTCCAAATTTAAGTGTTTAGGCTGACCCCACAAAAAGTCATTCTGAGGGGTTTTTTAAAATATATATATACCTTCTCTGACATCTTAGGGAAACTGCTATATGAAGCTTACTTCATTCTTTGTTTTTAAATTTTATTAGAAGAGCAATGCTTCGCCTTGGGCTGCTAGGAGATTTTGGGGACCACATCAGCAAACACCACCCAGGTTCCCCACCCTGGCTCTCCACATCTGCTCCTCAAATCTGGGGAAAAGGAAATGATCTCCACCCAAGACCATGGCTGGAAGAGGAAGATGTTAAAGGAAACCTAGAGATGCAGTCTTGCCATTATTTACCCCCTTCAGTGCATATATGTGGGAGATAAAGAACTCTGACAATATTAGGGAGTTAGATAACACTGAATTGAGGCAGAATTGCATCACACCCCAGAAACTCAGTCAGCCTTAAAAGTGAATGATTAAGGGACAATGATGACTTCGTTTACTCTAGGAACTGGGTTTTTTCCCTTACCCTTCCTTCCTTCCTTCCTTCCTTCCTTCCTTCCTTCCTTCCTTCCTTCCTTCCTTCCTTCCCTTTTTCCCTTCTTCCTTCCTTCCCTTCTTTTCTTCTCTTTCTTGTTTAATAGAAAGGAGGCTTGCATCCCTAAGTTGGTTTTAAATGTGGTCACACATCCAGTCTAGAATATGAACTGGATGACTTCAATGTCTCTTGGAACCCTAGACTTTATAGTTGACTTAGGCCGGCCGGCCTGGGCTTGGTTTGTTTAAGGTTTGATCATGGTCCAGGTGTCCTGCTTGCACACGGATGTTGACATTGCTGAGAAAACTTCAGAACTCTCACTTCCATTTGGGAAACGAGTACATGTCTCCTTGCAACAAAAGGCATATTGGGGCATCACTCAGGCAGGATGTCAGCAAACTACAGCTCATGGGCCAAGTGTGTCCCGCAACCTGTTCTTGGATGGCTTGCAAACTAGGAATGGTTTTTTTCCATTTTTAAATAGCTGAAAAGGAAATCAAAAGAATAATATTTTGTGACACATGAAAATTATATGAAATTTTATGGTGACCATAAATAACTTTTTATTGGAATATAGCCACACCTACTCATTTACATGTTGTCTATGGCTACTTTTGTGATGCAGTTTTGTGTTATATAGTTATGACAGAGCCTGCATGGCCCATGAAACTTAAATATTTACTACCTGACTCTTTACAGAGAGAGTTTGCTGACCTCTGTACAAAAGTAAAAGAATAATTTTGCACAAACACAGGAAAATAAGATGGTCACATAATTCATTCTTTAGTTAATTTAATTAAATCACCATTTGGAGCCCCTAATGATCTTCTCTACTCAGTTAACCCCCTAGAGTAAAAATGAACTCAACTCATGTGCCCTTAACAAAACAACTTACTCATACTGCACCTGGCAAAGAGAATGGCTTACCATGTATATCACATTCCCAGCTTCCAGAAAGAGCAAATCAGAATATCCTATGGGTTCCATTCATGTCCTAACAAGAGCTTTCATGTTTGGCCCTGGGTTGAGGGTCTGCTTCTTTCTGCACAAGCCTCTTCCTTGTTATGCTGCGAGGTCAAACCTGGAGAAATCCACCCTGGCCTGGCCGGGAAGAAGCGAGCCCTGTGCGTGGGATTCTGCAATGTGACCTTTCTCTGCTGTCTCCTTGGAACAGATTGGAAGCTGCCGATCTCCCTGGGACCTGTTTATCCACCATCAGTCTCGAGTCTGAGCACCAAAGCTGTGGGACAAAGCTGGGAATTGTCTCTTCCCACCGCAAAGAGTTTCCGAGTACATGACGTAAGTCTTCCAAGGGTCCCTTTTTTCCCTTATCCTTTGTGACTGAGAAGTGAGACTGTGTCCCATTCAGGGGTCAGCTGAGCAAACAAGGTGCTGTGGCTGACAAAACTCAAGGAGCAGAAGTAAATGCTTTCTCTTTACCCTTGACCTCCTCCCGCCCTCATAGCCCCCTGCTTCCCGGTGAGACCGGTGCAGAGAGAGGGATTGTCCCAAACACAGGTCATACATGTGAGTGGTGACTCTCATCAGCCCTCCCCAAAAGAAAAAAATCCTCAAAATCGGACAGTTTTCTGATGTTCTGAATGGTCCTTTCCACCCCAGGTACCTCTGTTCCTCTTCAGTGGCTGTTTCATCTCCACTACGTGAGATGTGCATCTTCACCTGTACCTCACCCTCTGGTTAACAGGTTCATGCTATTTTGTGTGAAAGAGACATTTTTGGAATGTGTGTGGTAATTTAATCCTTTCTCCCTACTCTCTTAAAATCCAGAAGTGGTCTTCAAAACAATTGCTTGCTTGCGTGACAATCCTCTGTTGAGCACTTTGTACATAACATGACATCCGTCTAAGATGGGTAAAACACAGGCCTGTTTTCAAGGACCCTAGGGTGTAGTTGGGACATAATCGTGTAGAGAGACACTTGTAGTAAGTCAAGTGGGGGACACAGACCCTTGGAGTAAATGGTTTGGAAACCCAGAGGAGGAGGAGGAGCTAACTCTGGGGACCAGACAGGCCTCGGTCAGAGGTGACACTTGCTTGGAAGCCAAAATCAGAGTGCTGAAAGACAAGTAGGAAAGGCAGGAGGGGAGTAGAGGAGGGAGAGGGTCCAGGCAGAGAAGGGGGTGCGTGCAAACTTGGCTCCTCTAATAAAAATGTGATGGTGGTAGTGAAGCTTGTGATGATGACCTTCAAGACAGGTGGCATGACAAGCCAGGGAAAAATGTGACTAACGGCTCTTGAAGAGCCCAGGGATGGCAGACTCTCTCACCTTTCACTGCAGACCTAGCTCTGCTCCCAGTCAGCCCTGGCCCGATCCCGCATGATCAGGCTCTTCTCGCCCCAATGAAGCCCACTGGCAGCCCTCTCTCTGTCTTCAACGTGGACTCTGGGAGCCGCCTTCCCTGGAACAGAGTCTCTGCCCTGAAGCTACATATGTAAATTTAAACTAGATGCAAGAGAAGGTGACAGAGACCTCAAGAAAGTCCTCTCACCTTGCTGAGTCTCTCAGTTTTTCTATTTGGGATAGGGGGTGTTGACCTGTAAAATCCCTAGTGATCTCTGCTTTTGGTCAGCTCCTCTGTTCTCACCTGCCTCCAAAGCTGCTATCGCAGTGCCCTGTCTGGTATCCTTATGGTCAACACTGGAAGAAATAACACACATTCATTTCCTGCTGTGTGGGAGGCAGGAAATGGCTCAACTCCCTAACTGGGATGAGGTTCCTGCGGGGTGTCCAGCCGCCCACTCCTCAGCGCATTCCCACTTCCCAGGTGTCTCGGCCAGAAAGGCGGGCACGCTCGGCCATCAGCAGCTGGAATCCATCCACCACCACCACCTCGCCAAACACACCCCTGCCTCAGGGTGGGGGTGGGAGGGCATGTAAAAGAATCAATACTGAGAGAGAGGCAGCATTTGCTGAGCCTCGTCTGCATGCAAGGGGGAATCAAGCATGCCTGAGATGGGCCCTGTGGGCAAGAATCTAGGCCCGCCAACACTCTCCCTCTGGCCACGCCCGGGCCTCCCTCTGGGCGGAGCAAGAACAGGGAGCAGCTCTGGAGGACAAACTGAAGTACGGGCAGATGGCAGGGCTCTGTTGTCAGTGCCGAGAGGAGGCCAGAAGAGAGGAGGCAGGGGAGGGTGAGAAGCCCAGGAACTGGGAAAACCAGCTGAGAGCAAGCGTCTAAGCAGCTGCGGGTGCCCAGCAGGAGGTGCCTTCCACAGCGAGCAAGGAGAGGCCATGCAAGGGGGTTCTTGGCCTTGGGGAGCCCCCTAGACACCCCACGTCAGTGTCTCTCTGTAGTGAAACGCCAGCAGGGCTGATTTGCTCCTCAGTCTCTAACAGACTGAGATTAGAATCATAAGAGAGGTCCCTCTACCGCACAGTCACACGTCAGTCAGATCCTGCCTCCTGCCTTCTGGAAGGATGGCCTTCGACTGCCACCGTCTCGATGACATGCCAGTTTCTGGTAAATCGTGCCATTCCAAGGCTGGAAAGGCCCTTCATCGCTAACCCACTTAGAGGTGGTTGGTGTGACAAGGTCCTAGAGGGAGTGGTACAGTCTCGGCTAGAACTCAGTGCCCTAACCCTCAATCTCCAGTGCAGCCCCAGCAGCTCGTGGGGGGCATGGCCCTTTGCTCCGCCTCCCAGGGCCACAGGAAATGCAGAAAGCTACATGCAGTCCCATAATGAACGAGAGGCAGGGAGGTGAGCTGCCTGTTTTAAACAGTCCACCCTGTCTTGTGTGAGCCGGTGGGACCCCACAGGCACACATGGCCCATCTGCCCCAGCAGAGCCCTTTCTGGCACTTCCTGGACATGAAGGCGGAGAAGAGACTGGCCTGCCGGAAGGAACGTCGTAGTCGCTTTGGAAACATCAACATGCACAAATGCTATCAGCTCCGCCAGGTCTTCACGCCTTTCCAGGCCCTGGCCACCACGGTGAGCAAGCGTTTCTTCTGAAAAGGATTACAAAGGTCCTTGACTGAGATCCACGACAAGTCAGTTCTGGCCCCACAAATGCTGCCCAACCAACCACCTCAAAAGTCAGTGGTTTACAATCACCAGCATCCATGTTTCTCACTTGCTAGTCTGCAGGGAAATAGCCCCATTCCACTTTTGTTTACTGTAAGCTCCTAGGGGAGGAGGGAGAGGAGAATTGAGAACAATAATCTCATCAACCACAAGAGATTGCCTCTAGCCTGCCTGCAGGCTGGGGCCTGAGGGTTAGGGGAGGTCCACAGGCAGAGAGTCACGTCGTTGGTGGTCAGGAACGCCTGCTCCTGCTCCCACGGGGTGGAAAAGGTCTGGGGAAAGGAGGAGATTTTTGTCATAGATGGTTCTGGTTCTCATCCCTTCATTTCACCTGTTACCTTCTGGGCCCAAGTCAATTCAAGTGGAACTATTTCCAAATGTACTTCCTCAAAACTATTACTGTTACGTCTTTGTGATGTGTTCTAGCTATACAGTTTCATGATTCTAGAGTTTGGGTGAGCGTAGGAACCTCTAGGGAATCCTGATTCCAATGTAGAGTCCCAGTTCAGAGGGTCTTGGATGAGGCCTTGGAATTTTCTTTTTTAACCTCTTCCCTCTCCACCACCTTTATGCGTCATGGCTCAGCCTGTGCCTCCCCACCCTTGTTCACGTCATCAGCACCCATAAATCTGAAGGGGTCTAGTTGTTTGGGCCACGTGTAACCCATGCACAGTTCCAGGGTACGCAAGAGCCCAGGCCAGGACCTTTCGCTCACCTGTAGTTCTCCTCCTTTCCTGAACTTCAGAACCTCCGGGCTCATTGGCCATGGGAATGCCCAGGCTTTGCCCTCACGCCCAAGACACCAGAGGCTTTGGGGGCGGGTCCCAGGTGTCAGCAGGTTTTAAAACTCTCTTGATAAGATGATCAACCCACTGAGTTTTCCCAGGACTGACTTTCACACTTTCGCCCAAATTCTCCATCTTTCAGCACTAAAAGTCCTGAGTCCCAGGAAACTCCTCAGTTATGGTTTTAAAACTGAAAGCCTCGAGTCTTTGGAATTTGTGGAAACCAGATGGTTGGTCATTCTATGCACACATTATTGAATGCATAGCCAAGTTTAGAACGACTGTTCTCTGAACTTTCTGGAAACTAGCCCCAATCTATCCGTTCACTGGCCAACATATGCACAGCCCAGAACTGAGAACTCTAGAGGAATGGAAATCTCAGGAATGGAATGGAATCTCAATCCTAACCCCCAAGGAGCTTCTAGTCTTCTAGGGGAAACCAAGCCATGAGCCAAAAATCATGCTGCAAACACAAATGTAATGAAACATTAATAATAACAGCTCCATCAATTGATAGACCCAGAAGGAGCTGAGGGCTATCCAAATCTGAGCTGCTTTCTGCTAAATCCAACTCCCCAAGGTCTTGCGGGAGAACAAAGTCTGCAGATAGGAACACGCTCTGAACTGACAGAGCCACTTGGGAAGAGCAGATCTGCCATGTACTGGCAGCAATCGTACCATGTATTGAGTTCTTACTATGTGCCAAGCATAGTGGTAAAGTCTTCCCAATCCTGATCCTTACGACCTCCACCTGATTAACATCATTTTATCAGCAAGGAAGCAAAGGATGAGACATGTTAATTAACTTGCCCAAGATTTACCATTAGTCAGCAGTAGAGCCAGGGTGGGCCTGTTGTGCTGGAACAGGTGCTTCCGCCCCCCATGTGTCATTTCATTGCCTGTTTCTCTGCCTCATAGGAGATGCAAAGGCTGGTGTTTCCCCAGCTCCTGCCCATGAGTCTGCACATGAGCAAAACGGGTATTTTGTGGACCGACAAAAGCAATCTCCAAGATTCATCTTTATCTTCCACAGACCTGGGCTTGGGACAGGGCGACAACAATTGTGAGAAAGAGAAACCAGGAAGCCTTATTAAAACACCTTTGTTCCCTCCAATAGATAAAGCAAATAAATGTATTAACATGAAATAATAAAAATTATGAAACTATATTCTGATCCTTTGCTACAAGACTTTGCATTAAAACACTTAAATCCCATGAACTCAGGAATGCTGAAACGTTCTCAAACCTGACTTAACATTTGAATAAGTTGAAGAATTCCTCAATAAGTATGCTTTTCTCAAAAGTCTGAAAAATGGCAGGGCTGGTTGCAGTAGAGTAAATCAAGGACTCCACTTTTTTCCACTTTTCTGGTCCACCATCCCCAGAGTATTGGATGATAACCTTGGGATTAGCTCCTCATGGTCACAAAATGGTTGCCACTGCACCAAACACCACATCCTTAGGTGGGCACATAAAGCACTAGAAGGCTGAAGTTTCTACTCATGCAACACACATCCAGAAGGAGAATCTCTCCCAAGAACCACTCAGCAGATGTCCCAGCAATTCTCCGTGGCCAGGATGGTGTGCTTTAACCATGACATAACTCCAAGGGAAGCTGAGAAGGTAAGTATTGGGTATTTACTGGGAGGCAAGTTCTACCATCAGGAAAAGAAAGTAGGACAATGGCTGATGGAAAGTAATTAATATCTACCAGCAAAGGAATTCAAGAACTCATTCAGTTCCCTTCCTAGAAGGGCCTGTGGTAGCCGGCTGCCCGATACCGTCCCCGTCACTACCCTACCTGCCCGCAGGCTGATTTGCCTTCTGGATTAAGATGCCATCCTGCACATCTTGAGCATCACCTGGCAGTTTGTGTATGAGCTCCTGTCTCTCTTTCCTTTTATTCTAACCATGAGCCACTCCTTCCCACCTGCATCTACTCTCGGGTAGGCAGTTCACACAGAAGGGCAGGCTGCATAAGGGTGCCACCCCACCTGGACATGTTTTCTTTTAAACAAGGTGTAGCCTTCCACCCAGACCCAAACGGAGATAAAACTCCAGACAGTTACAGTGCAAGGCGGTGAAAGCTGGAGACACACAGAGATTTCTCACACTCAGGCCACATGCCCAGGCATCGCAAAAGAACTTAAGATGTAACTCACAATTGACAATAAATCTGATTTACATGTATTTTTGCAGAAATCAATACATTCACAAAGCAAGATCTGCACAGAGCTTTTCTTCTACCGTAGGACTTGAGCCAGGAAAGACTCACAGGTGAGAAATAATAGCAATTGCACCAGCCTGTATAGCCTGAGTAACTATTTTGTTCCAGGCACTGTGTTAAAAACTTTTGTGGATTCGCCTCATTTAATCTACACCATTGTTCCACTGCACTAATCCAGTGTGATTACAGATGAGGAAACTTGCATTTCAAGAGGTGACACCAGTGCTGTCCTGAACCTCCTGCAGGCATTTGACCGGATGCCCTCCGCAGCCCAGACAGGCTTTCCCAGGCTTGCCCTGCGCCCAGCAGCCTGACAGGCAGTATTTATGAGCATATTCCACCCTGTTCAGAATCATCACACACGTTCTTTTTTATTTTATTGCTGTTCAAGCACAGTTGTCTCCATTTTCCCACCACCACTTACCCCTGCCCCACCCACCCCTCCCTCCCTCCCTCAATCCTACCTGCCTTCGGCTTTGTCCACGGGTCCTTTATACGTGTTCCTTGACAACCCTTCCCCTTCTTTCCACCACGCACATTCTTACCCCATTCTGCCCCACAGTTTACTCATCCTTTGCCGTCTCCTCAGCTCTCTTGATAAAATCGCCCATCCGTGTATGACCAATGCTAATGGATTCATTTGTCACTGCTTGTACATGACATCTTTCCATTTTGGCTGCTGCCTTCTAGAGCAAATTTGTCAAAGTAAGAACATCGACCTCCTGGCGGCCAAGCGGGGCAGGTAGGTTCAATGGCAAGACCCCTGCAAGGGAGAGGCTGGAGCTTGGGGGGTGGGGGTGGGGGAGAGGTGGGCAAGGTCCCTGGGGGACGGGTTAGAAGCAATGCAGGGAGTGAGGGGGAGGCTCCTGGTACAATGAGAAGCTCGGAGCTGGTTCAAGTTCTGCCACTTATGACTGGGATCTCGGGGAAGGTGCTGGAGGATGTTGAGGCGTCTTCCTCCTGGTGAAAAGCTTCTGTGTGATTTTTCAGGCCTGACTCCATGCAATTCCAAGGCCCTGTCTGGCAAGCCTCATGGAAAAGCTGCCCTCCCCACATGGTGCCTGGTGACAACCACACTCTGCAGACTCTATGGGGAGTTCGGGTCATGGACTCTGGCCCCCTGGCCAGCCGTGATCATCACATATTTGTGTTCCCAGCTCAGGCACCTTCCTTTCTAGGTGTCCTGGTCTGAGGCCTTGGTAGATGGAGTTTATTAGGTGTTCCTGCCCACACCTCCTTGTAGGGTGGGAATGAGAGAGAACCATAAAGATGTTTATCCCCACCCTGACTCGGTACCTTACGTTTTCACTCCCAGCCTCTCTCCCTCTCACCTCCCCTTCAACTTCAAGGTCCATAGAACTGCCAGAGCTTTTGGCCAGGGGCTCCCCTCAACAGTGAGACCACATCTACGCTGATCCTCCTGACCCTCAGGGTTCCGCGGAGGAAAATGGAACTGCGGAGTCCTCATTCTCTCCAGGTTTAGGCTCATGCTTATACCACGGTAGTAAGAGGGTAAAGCCTGAATGCTTCCAGTTTGGGCTCATTGCTGGAATCGGCCACTCGGACACCTGACAGCTGCTCCCTCTCTCCAGCCCGCGGAGGTCCTGCCCCACGTGACCTTCGGTCCTTCCCGTGTGAGGAAGTGTCGTGGCGAGCCTCTCTCACAACCAGGTCGTGTCTGCAACATAATGAGTACACATGGTAGCTGTCGCTGTTTTTTCCTTACCTTTTCCCAAGACTTCAACAATGCTTTCAAGAAACTAAAAGGAGGGTCCAGGTGGCTGGAGTGGGAGACAGCGAAGGGGGAAGAGAGGTGCCAGAGGAGGGTAAAAGGCACCAGCCCCTGGCCCGGGGGTGGGGATGTCTCAGAAGCCATTGTAAAGACTTCAGATGTCACCCCAAGAGTATTGGGAACCCACTGAAGGATTTCAAGCCTGAGAGAGCCATGCCACTTTGTCTAGCAAAAGGATGACCCCAGTTGCCACATGGAAAGAGCAGCAGAGTGTCAGACAGGAGACCCTAGTCTGGGGACTAATGCTCTGGTCCAGGCAAGGGCTCTGATGCCCTGGCCCAAGGTGGGAGCAGAAGAGAGGGGACGGTGACAATGGGTCAGAGACACAGTTTGGGGTACACTGGCAACACTTATGTTTGAGGGGACATCACAGCTTTGGGAACAGAAGGTTTCCAATATAGTTTCTAGGTTCTGGCTTGAGCAACTGGGCAGAGATGGTGGTGTCGTTTGCTACGATACGATGATTTGACTGGTCTAGACTGGAGACGTGTATACTACCATCTCTATGCAAAACTGAGCCCCAATTTCCAAGGCACAGACCTAGCAACGAACTACTGGGACTGGGCTCATATAAAAACTGCAAGTAGCCTGTACTTTGATCATTTCGTTAATATCAGGTGTTTTCAAACAAGGCTTGTTCTTTATACAAGCACACCTGTGTCTCAGGTTACCCGTATTCTTAAGAAGCAAAACAAAACAAACAAACAAAACCTTCCATTTTTGTTTTGTTTCATTCCCATTTCCTGCTGACTAGAACTAAACGCTGCCACATGCTCAGAAAATGTCCAACGTTTGCATGTTTTGTTTTGTTTTTTAATGTAGTTTTATCTGGTCGAGGCACAGAGCCTTCAGCTAAGTAACCCTATAATCTGCACTTTGTGAATAACCATGTAATTGAGCAATTGCCGTAATCGCTGAGGGTTGCTGTGTGGACAGTGAGCTTTGGGGTTTTTTTCCAAATCTCTTTTCTGGAATGCCAGGAAGGGGAACACCCGAGCTGGGTCTCAGGCCCCAGCCTCCTTCCCCCAAGAGTAATGAAGGTGAGGACAAGGGCCTCCGTCAGCTGAGTGAATCCCGCACCTGGCTGGGAAGCATTTCCCAGAATGATCTTCTGTTTGCAGGGGGCGGGGGCAGGTGGTTTAGTTGAAAATCTTAGAACTAGCTCATTCTGCACAGAGCCAACTTGAGCCCTGAGCATGGTCTTGTTAGAACGGGGTGCCGTGCCAGCTGCTGTTCACAGAGCGTCTCTGCGCCTTGGCCCCCCTGCCAACAGCCCAACAGACTGATGCGTCAACACCACAGATGGGTATTACTGTCCGGCATCTTTCCGATGTGCAAGCAGGCTATTGGTTAACCTGTGGAAGGTCAGGCTGCTAGCGAATTGTGGTGGTAGAACCTGAAACCCTAGCCCATCGAATGCTCAAGAAGGCAAAGCTCCCCGTTTTACCCTAAAGTTGGTGATCTCAGAGTCAAGTGCAGAGATGTTCTATAGCCCTGAAACAACACCATTTGTAACTGCACCCCTCTCCCCCTGAGCTCTAGACTCGCCTGGGGGAGTCTCTTAGATCAACGTGTTCCAACCTACAACATCACATTTCCTCTGATGTCTTTACTCCCCCACCATACACATTCCCCATCTCATTTATTAAAGCTGCCATTTCCAAGCTGTTGGAACTGGAAATCTTGGGATCAATCTTCCTATCTCCCTCGCCCCTCCCTCCTGTGTGTGTGAGTGTGCATGTTTGTGTGTGTCTGTGTGGCCCACCTGTTGCTCCTACCCTCTAAGCATCTTTCATATTAATTACATCTCTCCTCTCCATCCCTCCTCCACTATCTTAGCTTCAGCCTTCACCATCTCTTTCCTGCATTTACAATAGCCCCATAACCGTTCTTCTTGTCAGAAAGGTCTTTCTGAAGCACAAACATGACTATGTCTCTCCACGCTTTGAATGGCTCCCTGTTGCCCTTATAAAACAAGAGCCTGAATCCTTAGCTTGCTTCATCTCTAACAGCCTCATCTCCTGATTCCCCCAGGCACCGTCTTCAAATTCCACACCTTCATACCCATGGCCTTGCACTCACACCAACTTTTCTTCACCATTGACTGTCCTGGATTCTTACACTCTTACC